TTTAATTCAAAACCCTGATATTGAATATTAAATAAAATATTCTCAGTTAATGATGAACTTACCTTAAACAAATCTACCTTTTATTATGTACTAAGTCCTTAATATATTGGTTAATAACTTGATGTAAACCATTTCATGTATTGCAAACATAAAGTTACCTCACACACAGTTAATTTCCTTAATTACCTTGAAGTGAGCAGCAACAAAAATTGAGCAGAATAACATAAACACATTTTACTTCATTACATTCTGATCAGCTGATTATAACCTATAATATTTTAAAATCAGAACTATCGTAAAGTTAACATAACTTATAAAGTGTAAATTAGTTAAATGTGATTAATATGTAGCATCATGGTGTGGTTGCGATTCGTATAAATGTAAAAAGACCTAAGATTTTGTGGAATATGATCTTGTAAACAAATACAAACCCTACTTTCTGTTCTACCAATTTTGGTGTTTTGGGAGATACATGTAAATTTATATACGCAGTTGGAGGTAACATGAAAGGGTCACCGATGGATCTTTAATTCCTGTAAAAGACATTTTGTTTTGTCCAAGATCAGCTTGGATGGAGGATAAGTTATGGACAGTGTGGTTTTTAATCTTTTGTTTATTATCACTGCAACTTCGTCACCTTTGAATTCAAGTTAAATAAAAATAGGATTGTAGTTAATTAGACAAAGCCGTTAAAATTTGAACAAACACCATTCCATATATCTTTTTGATAAACTAAGCGTTGGATTGTACCATCCTCAATCCATTATATGGCTATATCGAGAAAGTTGAAATTCTTATTATTTTGATTTCTTATTGTCAACTGGATATTTTTATGATCGTCTATGAAAAGGTTTATTGTTGATCGTCACACATAATCCGCATGGGGTGCTTATATGACAAATTTCAGTCAAAATATCAACAACCGGATGATCCAATCCATTTCGAATTGAATTATAACATCGATTTTTTGAAATCTATCCCAAAAATGACAAAGTTTAATCCAAAAACTAAAATAAACGAAGTGTCGTGACTTAATTGCCTAAATAATTTAGTCTCAGTAATGAGGTAAACAATAAAACAACATACATAACAAGTTTATGAAAATTCTCATATCGACATTTGCTAAATAAAGAAGGAACGAATCGAGCAAGTTTATGAAATCATAATTATCCTTTTCTGATCGACAAACATAAACTGAGTTAAAAGTAATAAAATTTTCCCTAAAAGCTATTTAAAAACAACAGTTTTCTAGTTTTACTTATATAACCAAAAGATGTTGGATGCCGAAATAAGTTGCGGTAAATATTAATCTTTTATTGTTAAGTTCTAGTAGATACGAAGTCATAACAACACGATTTAGTCATCATTGAAATATTTGTTGTTTGAAGTAAGTAGAATTGTAACTAAGTTGCTTTCATTTCCTTAAATATAGGACCCCTGTTTCATCCTTTTTCAGACTAGCCAGTTGTATTTGTTTTTCAGTGAACCCTATTGTTTCATCTTATGCCTGAACCCAGCATTTATTGCATCAAATTAAAATTACATGATAAAAAACATTTTACATTGTAGTTGAGTCTTATAAGTAAGTATTTGCAACCACACAATATAGTATACGCGATTAAAAGTGGTTATTCCATTGAACAGAATACTCTGACTACCTTACTGATACACTTACTCCTATTCATTGGGCTAATTTTATACTGACTGTGTAATAAGCAAACCTAGTTTAAGGATATTTTTACTGCCGTAACGAAAGTTTATACCTTAAACACACGAAAAACTATTATTTCCACAGGACTTCAATCCCATAAAGAAATTTTAACAAGCCCACTTTTAAATTTTATAGTTAACATAACGGAATTTTCATAGTAAAACAAATATTGAAAACCAGTGAGCGGTGGAAATTTTTTTCATCCAAGTTTGAGGCTCATCAGCATTGCTCATCCGTGGTCCTAACGAATATCAAACTCCAGAACCTTTAGGTCGCTTGGCAAGCGCTCAAATGTTAGACCACAAAACTAACATTCAGTGGTTTAATAGCTTAACTTCAATTAACTTGCGATATCGTACAAATTTATTTCAATGTCATTAGTGTATAATTGCATCACACTCAACATGGTCGGATTCCACTGGTTGTGGATTCTCATCAAAAGACTTTTAAGCATTGACTATTTTGGTTAATCCGTGATTAATGATAAGTTTCACTCAAGTGTTCTTATATATATATTATCCAGATGACTGCATAATTACCCACTGTAAATCATCTACGATGAAAATAGGCTATTAGATCAATTCTCTCTTAATCAGCATCACGAAACGATTACCTAACTGAGATTAGTGGTATTTTATTGACTTAAATATGAATGCTAGGCTTTTTAAGTATTATTTACATAAGAATTAATTCTTAAAAAACGAGAGGTTGAAATTATTCTTAAACATCACTTGTACAATTATTTACGTGTAGTCATACCAATCACCATTTAGTATGAAACAATTGAGAGAAGTACATTTTTAATTCATTTACATAATGTAATTGATAATAAAAGCATGAATAAGAATGAGAAAACCTATGAATGATCCGGTTGATTTGACAAAACTTAGCTAACTAACACAGAGATAGAAGGTGGCAAACTGTACACTAAAATACAATCCGCATATATAACTCCCGAAATTGTTCCTGTTCTAAAGCCTAGTCACGGACATTAAGGGGATACAAATATTTGAATAATCCAAAAGGACCAATGAAAGTCTATTCGTTTACTGTACATCACTGAAGGAAATCTATCACAAAACAAACTAATGTGATATATCAGTATGGAGCCTTCGAGATTGTTTAATTCTATTGAGATCACGAAACGATCTAAGCTAAACAACCACTGAAACCTAAAACGCACTAGGTGGCCGTTTCTTATTGGTATGGAACTCTTCAATGGGGTGGCATCCACATCCCAGTCACTAGAGATCGAACTAAAAATCGGTCTCGCGAGTGGACACTTAAATTCCAGAACACTGAACTGGGATTCATTTATGCACAATATGAATTATGCTTGATATAACCTTCATCACTGGCTGATGATCAGTTGGAGAATGATCGAAATTAGGGAAGCATTATTCGATAACAGTGCCATCGTAGTTTGAGTTCTTATCAATGTGAGAACTTATGTACATACGCAGAATCGAACCGAAGACCTTTAGATGTCATAATTAACACATCTTTAAACAAATGAGTTGGAACTTTATGTTTCATAATTTAATTTTTAATTAATCAGTAGTTCAGTATCACTCAAATTCTGTGTTACAAACGAGCTACCGTCCCGATTCCGTCTTGACAGACATTAAAGTTTAGGCCGTAATTTAAATCCATTTTGAAGTCATTTATTAGTAAATATATGATTCATATCAATATCGACGGTTTCATGTGAAACTTCGATATAATTTGAGGGTGCTTAAAATATTATTTTTAGTTACTGCATACTAGGATTTTTAAACACTGGACTAAATGATCACTAATTTTTTGTAACAAGAATCATGTTACTGATAATCTCAACCAAATCCATCAGTAGTACATGACTGAATCGTAAATGACTAGTATTCAAAATTTATCAGCCTAATTTAACTCTGTTGTTATCTTAAAAACGATACGTTTCTTCCTTTTGTTTGTTAATCTCTTGATCGGTCTGTTAATTATAGCCGATGCATCGAGTTCGTTCATTAACTAATTCGCTTATTATCTATAGATGAAAGTAAAATATGATTGAACGTTGAACATGAACAAACAGGCAGTTAGCCTACTGACTATTAACGATCTAATTTCCTTTCTTGTTATTGATTTCTATTCCGGATACACTGAGAGTGACTGCTTGTAACTGTGTTGAACAAAGTATTATCTAGTGTTAATCCGGTTTTCTATTTTGGATCGTGAATCTTGGATCTAATATAACATGACGGTGAGACTATAATATATGGACGACCTTGGAGCGACTCTAAGGTGACCTATAGAGTGTCTACCTAATAACTAGGACCAAATGAGCGTTATAAACCAGTGTGAGGAATTAGAATTATGGTTTACATTTGATGGTTAAAATTAGGAATTAGATTTAGGGTTTTCATCACTAACTGAGGTTGACACTAATTACACGGCGGTTGTGATTCAACATGAATGACTAACTCATAAGTGGCACACAATCGGATCAATAAGGGAATAATTAATTCGTGCTAATCCCGTATAAAGTATATAACAACAGTTTGTGCGTCAGACATGAGTTTAAAATTAGGTTAAAATAAAAATACAATCCCATTACTTAATAATTATGAAATAAAAATACAAATAATGATTTCCCATAGGATTTCAATATCAATGTTTGGCTAGATAGCTCCAAATAAATTGAGCATTGGATAGAAGGATAATAATAAATAGTTTTTATTGGTGATATCCCAATTAGTAGACATTTGTACTTCTGATGTTTTGTGAATGCTATTTAGAGTTGTGTTAGTTTTGTTTCAGCTATTTACTTATTTACCCAGATGAATTGAATTACATTAAGTCACGAAACGTCAGAAATACAAATTTCTACTCATTAGGATATCACAAAAGGTACATTTAATTATTATATCTCTAGGCTAGATCTGAATATTCAATTTAAAATCCTCTTCGAAATAAACAAAACAACCATTATCTTAAATGATTAACTGCATCTACTTTTTGATAGAAGCAAAATTGAATCTAAACGATAGGGATTCGAACTTTGACCAATAAATTATGAGTTTGAACCCGCTTCAAACTGAAAAACTTTGACTTATAACCTTGTACATATATTTGTATGCCTGTTTTATATATTTAAATATGAGGAAATTCCCTATTTTTGATTAACTTCTCATCTAATATACAAATGAACAAATACATTGAAAAAGAAACATCTTTTATAAACACTAACTTATTTATTTTACAATCTTTTCCGTATAACTAATTGGTCAACTAATAAACTATTATTAATTTATAGGCTATGAATTTATTAAATAACTTAGGAAAATGTAAATATGAAAGAAGTCATCCTTATCTTGCTCATCATGAGCATCAACCTATCGATGTTCAAAATGAAAATAATAAAATGACATCAAGTCCTTTAGAAAAGTGGATTTGGGAAAATGGATGTAAAACTTTACAAAATTTTAATACTAAATCTGGTATTCTCAGTTTTAAATCATCATCAATTCATTCAAAATGTCCAACACTTGAACTTGATTTAAATTTGGCTAAACATTTAACAGAAGTTGATTTACTTTCTCAAGTAAGTACATTTATAGTATTTTGATTAAGATATTCATTTGTATATATTTTATAAGTTATGATATCAAGACTATAATTTATGGACGAACTAATCAGGTATAAGATAACAGATCTTAGATTTTGGCGCAAAATTCACTCAACCATTTGGCTAAATAGAGTCTTGGCATTATAATTGATGTCAGTTCGTGATGAAAACCCTAAATCTAATTCCTAACCTTAACCATCAACTGTAAATCATAATTCGAATTCCTCACACTAATTTCTATCACTCATTCGGTCCTAGTTATCAGGTGGACACTCTCAAGGTCAGTGTAACGTTGCTAAATGGTCATCCATAAATTATAGTATCACCGTTATGATTTCCTTAAAATTTATGTTCGTATTTGCTAACTTTTTTTGTATTATTTAATTATTGAATAAGTATTTTTACAAATTAAGTTACATGCTCCTTTTGATGTAGTGGATACTAATTCATTATTCTAAAGATAATGAGTTCGATATGAGATTTGGAGGTCCTTTGTTCGAACCCTGATAAAAACATTTACGTAATCTATGGTGATACGACTGTTCAGTGCTCCATAGTCTTCAAAATTTTCCACTGGTTATAACTGATGTATGCTGAAAATCAACTCGAAAAGGGGTTTTTTAGATTTAGGAGTGATGTTGAAACTGATCCCAATATCAAATAAATTCATTGTCATATCTGTAAACAAATTACTACCCCATTTCATTAAGCGTTGACTTAGTAGTTTAAATTTTAGGGTATGATATCCGTTCGGTTTGGGAACCGGATGAATGCTAGTCCTCATGTACTAAATGCGTAACTCAGAGATGAGGACTGAAACTTCTGTGTAAATGAGTTTCTATACATTTAGTATTCTGTAGGTTGCCAAATTTATCTCCAGATTGTTATGCCGAATGATCGCTCGAAGTTGATGCTGATTTGCACGCTTCCTATAGGCGAAACCAGTCTAATAATTAGGTGCGGAGACTAAGGTTGAATGAATATCTGTATTGCCGAATCAAGTATAAATACACATACAAACTCATTGGCTTATATATATCACACATATAGTTGAGGCAAATTTCGATCAATACAGTTCATCCATCAACATATCTCACCTATTATTGGCTTTACTCCAACGTATGCACGTAGGCATATGATGTTTCTGGATTGCCTCATTCTATGACATATCTTTGAATTACATGGCTTCATTCAATAGGATTTTTTCTACTAACTTATATGAGTGGTTCTCAATATGACAGTAATATATTCTAATTTCGACAGTGTTAAGATTTCTGCGCTAAGTGATTAAATTGAGGAGCTTCATCTTCGTTCCAGAACGCATTATACGCTCATGAATTACTTAGGCGCTTAAGAATATGAGCTATAGATCTCCTTCATTTAATTTCACTTGTTACTAAATGAACTAAATGAGCCCATTACTCACTCTCAGTCAGTGATTTTAGCTATGGTACAACGTGATACTGATTTCCATCAAGCATATTAGTGAATAGTTCTTTGAGAAGAGTTCTACAATCATTCTAAATACTTATATTTTACATTGAAATTGTTTCAAATTGTAACGTTGCCTTTCATCATAGATAATGACAAATTTAAAGTAGTCCATGAAACCAATGACCCTTCTCTTAACCATCTACCTTTTTCAAATCTAATGTAAGATGATGGAACAATGTATCATTTCTATTAACATCGTTTTTTTTTTCTCCACCCCCTTTTTTCTCTCTCTCTCTTCTTTTTCTTTTATATAAACACCAAACAATCCTATTCTAGGCAAATGTATTACAACAAATGATACATGTATATTCATATGAAATGTTAACAAATCAATTAGCACAAAATTTATTACGTATACATGGAATATGGTTTGAATTATACTCAGGTAGAGTACTAATATATAGTCGTTTAAATAAAGCATTTCTACCTATTACTGAAGAGACAATTCCTTCATTACTTCATGAATTATAATGTAATTTCTTTATACAATCAATTTATTTTTTATTTATTTCATTATGATTGTTTCTTTATTCTTTCTTATTTATCTCTTAAGAGATTTTTATACGATTGTATTTATCAAGATACCTCTTTGTTGTTGTTGTTGTTGTTGAAAGATTAATTCATTTTTCCATTCATTTGCTTATTAAAAAGAAGAATATATATTCGCAAAATCTCAGCGAATGAATTTTAAGTAAATCCAACGTTTTGCCTAGCAATCTGATCCAAGCTTTTTCAAGGAAAATATTTACTTAAAATTCATTCGCTGAGATTTTGCAAATATATATTCTTCTTTTTTTTAATGTCTCAAATTAACTCGGCACCCAAATATTGTGAAATTATTCGTTCAAATTTAGACGAAAGTTCTTATTTGCTTATTATTCAATCAAATATTTTGTTTTTCTAATTATTATTCATTTGGATGGATGTATATTTTGCAACTTGGCATAGAATATCATTTTCAAAGATACTTATGGTATATCTAGTCTATTATTTCTAAATGTATATTTCGAAATTTTGAAATATAACCAATGGTGATGAATCAGCTGACTCAGGGTCTAGAATATTTTATTGATATATTTTTTATTTTATTTTATTTTATTTTGGAACAATCTTCATGATTGAATGAAATTGAATCTCTATGTGAATTGATGATATTTAGATCATACAAATGGATATGATAACAAACTATTAGAAATAATGCATTTCAGGTTATCACTTCGTTTTAAGAAAATTTATTTTCCCTATTTGAATTGATTAAATGGAAGTTTAAATGTTTATCTTCAATTCAATTATTCCAATTAGTGTTTTTTAATTAATTAATGAATAATGTTTTATTGAAAGACTATTTAAAACACAATTATATGAATGAAGAATATGCTTTTCAATCATTTCTCATCAAGTTCTACAATGATCTCATATCCAAATTAATAAACCATAAAATTAGCTAGATTTAAAGCAGAGTACATTATTTGGAAATTGTAATATATGAATCAAGGATTGTTTATCAAACTAATCCGTCAGTATTAAGGTTGACTCATATGAAGTGTTTACTTGAATCAGTTTATAAGTGAAATGAAATTGGGAGATAAATAATGAATTGATTGATGTTAAACCATCATTGAAAACCTGGTGATCTAACATCAATCAATTCATGATCTCAATCAAAAATTTAATCATCTCCACAACTATATACTGATATACAGATAAATAATGATCAGAATAAATATGGTCACCATGGGGTGGTCGAGAGAGAGAATAATGTAATTACAAATCAGGAATTACATAATATGTAGAATAATATGAATTAGGTCAGATACAGTAGGTAGGGGTGGATGCTGAATAAAGTTCTTAAAAAGGTTATCAAGTGTAATAATAATAATAATAAGGAGTGTTTAGGTGATTTTTCAAATTCTTATGTGATAGAGTCTTCTTTTTTTCTTAGTTTTCTTCAAAATAAAAAAATGATAACAGTGTAATAGATTCGATAAGGGAAAAGATTCTTTCTTTCACTATCAAGGTAGTAATAATAATAATAATGATCCTTCAATATGCTGTGCAAAACATTTATATTTATCTATGATTAATTGTTGTTCATTTGTATTTGAAATGTATATTGTAAATTAATTTGTTACAATGAATTGGAATTGTTTAATTTATTTCCATTGTATTTTTGAATGAAATAAATTTATTTGTAACAGAAAAAAGATTTAGATTTTTGATATGACTTCTTCATTGATTTCTGAAATCCCCTTCACCATTGATATGTCTTGTCGACATCATCGTTAATTGTTATGTCTGGTCGTCGATGATTATTGCGTTGGAAACGTTTATCACTTATACTTGAAACGAGGGTATTTTGCAATTCTCCATGACACGAAAGTAAAGGATACAAAGACCGGTATAAGTAATGATTTATTAACCTAAAAACACAATGACGATGACGACAACCCTAGTCGAAAATACATTCATTTACATATTGATTGTACACACATACTTTGATTAATAATTAGGATGAATTCACATATATGAAAAATACTTAGAGTTATAACAAATCACATACTGAGCATAGTTCATGGCCGTTGAATACAAGAATATTGTATGTTATAAAGAATAAAATATCATATGGGAAAGTAAAACCGATTACTACACTGAATAATCATCACATTGAATCAAAAACGGGAGTAATGTTGAATAAAATTCATAATGGGTAAATCAATCTAACTTTGATTTTTCTTTCCATCATGTCCAAAGGTTGAATTTTCCCGTTGTTATAATACACAAGGCTACAATTAAGCAGATTCTGTTACCATTTATGCATTCTAAGCGTATTATCTCAAATAGTATTTAGTTTCAAAGTTTGATTAATGTTAATTAGTGATTAAGAATGGAATTTAGAATGTATATTATTTTTTTCAATTTACTAACATACATAACCGTTACAAATAAAATTCATATCATTTCAACAAGCTAGTGACTAGTTGAACTCAATAGTTCAATGAATAATGCGTTAGCATTTGGACATGAACATTGGGATGTAGGTACATCTGATCGATAAGTTACAAATAGGATTAAATCCACGTTTTTGAACTTCATTGCCAGTCACTATTTAATGAAGTCGTTCAACTAAATAACAAAATCAAAGTAATCCACAGTTAGGGAATTCGAGATTGTTCATCGCTTGAAGAACTTACAGATAACTATAAAAGGATAGAGATTCATATTCTTAAGCTGTTAATGGTGTTATAATAGTCATCAAATTGTATGTTTCATTAAAATTTTTAATTTGATCAAGTGATTTCATGAGAACAATGACAGGAATATAGTTTTTTGAAAATTTACATGTTTAGTTATTCCGTACACTTAATGTTTATGTGTGTGTTTACTCAAAGTTAGTAGAATTACGGTTAGTTGATACAAACAAAATGGTAGATACAATTTTTCTTGTCTTTATATTATGATTATGCAGTGAGTGGGATTTTACAAAATATCAATGAAAAAGAACAGAGTAAATGAAAAGCATACATCACTCAACAACTTAAAGAACCCAGTCACTGTCTTAAGTAAATAGTTTAAAAGAAATACGCTGGCCAAACCACTTTACACTAACTAATTTACATGTGGGTGTTTTTGAGTCTTATTTTCAAATATAAACTTTAACTGTATTCTATCATCGTAATTAATTTGGTTTGATATCATAGAGAAAAGAATGCTTGAAAATATAGAACAATTTTTTGAAAGTTATTTAATAGCTTCTCTGACGATTGAATTTGCTCATTTTTTGGTAAAACTCAAAATATTTTACTTGCATAGTGATCCTAATTGAAAAACTATTGAAAATTAAGTTACATTAGACACATGTTTTGTCCTAGTGTTGGACTGCTCGGAAATGCACACTATGACTGTTTTACAGATAGAATAGAGATTTAATCTTTAAACTATTGACCCAACATTCACTAGTTTACATATTTATGTCCAACCGGTTTGCGATATTGAGCAATTATGCTTTAATGCCACTACATACGAACTACTGGGAGGGATCTCAGTGGTCTAACCAACTAAATGTTTGTCTTGAGATAGGTTCGAGCTCTGAGGGGTGATGAGGGCACACTGTTGAAAGGCCCCGTATGTAAACGGGAAAGCTGTCTACTGCTTCCTGGATTCCAGTGATTATATGGGATCAGTATATGGTGTAAACTATGAAATTCAACAACCTCCACAAACCCCCATATATTAACGAATACTGGTATTTTATTAGAACGTTTTACTGCGTAGCATATTATTAATATTATTTTGTAGAAGCGTTAGTGTATCTCAAATGAAAAGTGATTTATTGTTTACGAAGTTGCTTGGAACCGTTGGTTTAATCTGTTTTGAATACAATAAACGAGCGTGTCCAGATTTATTGATAATAAATTAAAGGATTCATATATGTGATTTTGAGTTATGTGTGTCTAAAGACTGAAATAGAAATCAAATAATGGTTTCTAATGTTTATTTAGTTAATTTCAGTCTATAGTGAAAATTATCTCCCAAACAAAACATGTTTTTATATATCTAAATGAACCATACTACTCATTATTGGTCAGTAGAATGAATCATTATAGTTATATATTGATGCAGGTTGAATCATAAACGGTAACCATCAGCCGATTGCTTTTGATGTAATTCAGGACACAATTATCCAGAGTAACGAGGTTTCAAACTGTTTTCACACTATTTTATTTATTATCCTTGTCTCCTCTTACCCTCTATTTCTAGTCTATTTGACCATTTATTCTTATATATAAATGTTCTTAACAAGTATATGTGATCAAATTGTTCGAAATTTATTGCGCTAATATATCACATAGTTCTGATAATCTTCGCCTCATTATACTATAGAGACAATTAAGAGTGTTTATAGGGTTTCTCGAAGTTTCCCGTGTACTATATACTAGCCGACACAGTAAAATTATTCACATATTTATGATATGTGCAATCGGGGACAATCTTTTGTACGGATCTTTGAGGGAGTGTGTAAATTATAATCACCGAATCGTTGTTAGCAGGCGTTGTTTCGTGGACCCCATAACTGATTTTCACGTTAATAATGTTGACAGTTTGGTGACAATTAAGTAGGAATCTTTGGCTTTCTTTAGTCTCTAAAGGTAAAGTGAACTATAGACATTGGGAAGTTTTTTATCGCACCTTCGTTGATTTTAATAACAATAAATCAAACATAAACCTTTATAAATTTAGCAGTCATTTAAAAAGTGCATATGCATTCTAGACTCGTTTCACTGGCATTTTAACTGGCTAATGAAGGTCTGTGGAATCACTATTTACATTTAAACTCAGTAATATGAATAATCTTGAGACTATTTATATTTTCAGATGCTTTATCGTGACACCTATTCATCATCAAACAATATTATTAAGTCTAGCCAGTTACACTTTTTAAACGGACAGTGAGCTATGTTGCCCAACATAGCAGTACATTGTATTTATTAAGTCAAATTTGGGTGCAGATCATCATGAAACGGATTTTTTCAATATTACCTAGACCCCAACATAGTGAGTTAGGTAACCATTAGAATACGTATTATGATTCTTCCTTTGTTACATATACTCAATCAGTCAGTAGAGATGATGCATCAATCAAAATCCGGATTTATCCTTCTCTAAACCGAGTATACTAATCCGTCTCCAAACCAACTACATCACAAAACCAATAACGCGCCTAGCCTAACACCATCAACCTTGAAAAATGGCAAAATATAATTTTAGCCCCAATTGCTTGGGAACGCACACTCTTCTGATAGTCAGTCCCTAGTCCAATGGGAGAACACAGAAGACATGTTTCTATGTGAGCCTACAATTCAAGTACTCTTGGGTTTATAAACAAAAATTATCAGATCACAATTAGGAATCATGCTGCATATATCCGGTGGCAGAGAACAGATCGAAAGGTGTGAAATTCACCAGCAACGATCAAGGAATAATAAACCGATTACAGTAGTTGAAATGCCTAACGAAAGTTCACAGAGAATATTGTAATGCAGTAGTCCAATCATCAGTATCGTTAGGAATCTGTATTTTCCAATGATTGAAGGAAAATTGTTTTTACTCATGCTTCGCTACATAATGCTAACAGCTTCGTCAGAGTAATGCCCTGGTACGGTCGAGAGTGGGGAGAGTCCGCTCTCCCTCTTCAAATGTTCTCACATGGCCACACGAATATAGCCTCTGTCAGGGAAGTCCTACTCATTGCCTTCTCGTGTCGGGGGTGTTGTTTACGAAATTGAGAGGACGAAAAGTGAGTGTCCGGCGTTATAACCCGGTTGGTGGACATGGAGAGTCCACATAGGGGAGTTGGAAAACCCTGATTCCAAACCAATGGTGCACATGGGCTCCAGTATCCTGAAGGAACAAATGGCGTATGAACCAATCGTTGGTCACCGGCTACCATGGGACTGCATCTCCTCACGATGCTCCACTGCCTTGTGGATCAGACCTTCAGGTCGAAGGCTCCGGGTGTGGCCCCCTAAAGAATCCACCTGCTTCAGTCTGGGCACACGGACAGTATCACAGCCCTCACACAAATCGAATGATTTATGTGCCGCATATGTATTTGATGCCTCCTTGTACCAATGTTTATGTGTTTAAATAAATAAATAATAATCTGCAATTACGTAATGATAAATGTTGTACTCTCTTATTCTAGTGATTAATGAAATTTTTATTGTCTTTCTAAGTAAAATTATCAGCATCAACTCTGAAAAATGAATTAGAACTTAAGAAGAATCTTAAAAGAAAGATGAATAATATTCAAGACAATGTGATATTGCAACCAACTGATGAAGAGATGACTAGATCCAGTTAAGTATTATTCGTATAAAACTTATTATCAAACCTATATTCAATTAATTTATCTGCGACAATATAATTGAACTAAGTAAACCGAATCATAACCTCATGGGATAAAGATCTCAATTGTGTAACGCACATCTTCATTATCACTGTCAACAAAAACATGAATAAGGAATTTCCTTGGTGTTTTTTAAAAAAATTTCAATTATCAATAGGGAGGTAATGAAATCACGATCCGATCTAAGCTAAAAAATCATTATTATTTATTTTATTTT